GGTGGGCAAGAAGAGCTGAGAGATGGGCTCCTGGAGTCTTTGGAGGTGTCATGGAGCTTCAGAAAGGGAGGGAGGGAAGTTAACACAATAGTATGACACAGTAGTTAAAAGCACAGTTTTTGGAGCTAGGCTGACCAGGGTTCATATTCTCTTCTGTTACTTGTGAGTTCTGTGATCCTGGATAAGAGTGACTTCACCTCTCTGGAGTTCAGTTTCCTCATCACTGAAGTGGGGCCGATAATGCCACCTACCTCATAGGGAAGATAAATGACATAATGCAAGTGATGTAACTAGCAAAGCACTAGGCCTAGAGTAAGTTGTGGCCCACAGTATCCCTACCCACCTCTGCCTTCCCCACCAGGTGCTGCAGCGACTGGAGCAGAGGCGGCAACAGGCTCCAGAGCGAGAAGCTCCAGGCATAGAACTGCGGCTACAGGAAGTAAGGGAAAGCATCCGGCGGGCACAGGTGAGGCACTGCACTGGGCTTAGTACCACTGAGATCTGCCTCCTCAGGCAAACCCCCTTCACTTTGATGAAGGAAAAGGGAGAAGCAGAGGGTGGACACAGCTGGACAGGTTACACTAACTGCTGTCCTTCTCATGCCAGGTGAGCCAGGTGAAGGGCGCTGCCCGGCTGGCCCTGCTGCAGGGGGCTGGCCTGGATGTGCAGCTATGGCTGAAGCCAGCCATGACCCAGGCACAGGATGAGGTGGAGCAGGAGCGACGGCTTAGTGAGGCTCGACTGTCCCAGAAGGACCTCTCCCCAACGGTGAGCTCCTCCCTGACCCTAGCCATGTATGCCTGCTAGGGTAAAACTCCCCAGTAGGAGGCAGACCTTCTAAAATGGAAATTATAGCAGTAGTGACTCAACTGATGTTGCGAGGCTTAGATGAGATCATTCATGTGTAATTATTTTTTTAGGGGGGACTGGAGTTTTGAACTCAGGGCTTTGCACTTACAAACCAGGCACTATACTGCTTGAGCCACACCTCCAATCCATTTTGCTGTGGTTATTTTGGAGATGGGGCCTCATGAACTATTTGCCTGGTCCAGCCTCAAACTGTGATCCTCCTGATCTCAGCCTCCAAAGTAGGTAGGATTACCACAACAATAAAGAAAAACAACCCCAAAGTAGGTAGAATTACAGTTGTGAGCCACCAGCACCCATCTATGCATAATTTCAAGCATAGAGAATCCTCAGTAATTTTTTTTTTTTTGTGGTACTGGGGCTTGAACTCAGGCCCTCACGCTTGCTAGGCAAGTGCTTTACCACTTGAGCCATTCCGCCGGCCTTCCTCAATAAACTTTTAGTACGTATATAAGATGACAGTGAAGAACCAAGGTTCTAGGAGCATCTGGTGAGTGGCTTGAACACCAGCCACTCCACTTACTGGTTGTGTGATCTTGGAAAGTGTCTTAACACTTCTAAGCCTTGGTTTCTTCAAAAGTAAAATGAGATTAACAATTATGCAAGATAATACAGAACAGCATTGTACTGTTCACATATTAAACACTCGATTATAAATGCTATTATTTGGTTGTGAGATGTGGTGGTTGGTTGGGAGGTACAACTTTGAGGACAATTCAGTGTCCTTTAGAGGTAATATGGGGGAGTGGGAGATACAAGCAATACTTGAGAGGGCCCTATAATGATGTCTGCCCTCTCATCCCTCCAGGCTGAGGATGCTGAGCTTTCTGACTTTGATGAATGTGAAGAGACTGGAGAGCTCTTTGAGGAGCCAGCCCCACCAGCCCTGGCCACCAGGCCCCTCCCCTGCCCTGCACATGTGGTGTTTGGCTATCAGGTGTGAATGGGAGTGGGGCCCATTCACAGATGGGCAAGAGTGGGGGGGCACTCAAGTCCTGAACTTTTTTTGTGGGGCTCAGGCAGGGCGTGAGGATGAGCTGACTATCACGGAGGGTGAATGGCTGGAAGTCATAGAGGAGGGAGATGCTGATGAATGGGTCAAGGTGGGTATGGGACCCTGTGCTCTTACTTTGGTTGGGGGCAGTGGGAGGATTTCTCTGTGGCCCCAAGTCACATCCAGGCAAGTCTAGAAGCCTGAGTGGAGAGCCAGGGCCGTGGGCTGCTGAGGCAAGTCTGACCTGGTATCTGTTCACATTGCTTGGTGAGCAGGCTCGGAACCAGCATGGTGAGGTAGGCTTTGTCCCTGAGCGGTATCTCAACTTCCCGGATCTCTCCCTTCCTGAGAGCGGCCAACATAGTAACAATCCCTCGGGGGCAGAACCCACAGGTAAGAAAGGGACATTCTGGGCCCAGGGGCCCTGGGTATGAAGATGAGTTATTGGACATTTGTGGACCTGGGTGTCATGGTCCTAGGATACCACCCTCACCTCCTTTCTCACCGTCTCTCCTGGACTCCTGCAGCATTCTTGGCCTGTGCCCTGTACGGCTACACTGGACAGAGTGAAGAGGAGCTGAGCTTCCCTGAGGGGGCACTCATCCGCCTGCTGCCTCGGGCCCAAGATGGAGTGGATGATGGCTTCTGGAGGGGAGAATTTGGGGGCCATGTTGGGGTCTTCCCCTCCTTGCTGGTGGAGGAGCTGCTTGGCCCCCCAGGGCCACTTGAACTCTCTGACCCTGAACAGGTGAGGCCTCATTCTTCCTGGGTGGACCCTCTCACCCCAGGCCTCATATTCATCTTAATGGCCCCTCTACTCCCAGGTTTGCCTCCTGTGGTGGTTTAGGCCTCCCCGTATCCTTTGGCTAGGCAGAGAAAAGGGAAACCAAGGAAACCTTCATAGGAGTTTAGAGGACTTTAGTTCAGGGCAGACCTGAGTTCACGTTTCTTGCCTGACCTTGGGCGATGTCTTAACCTCTCTGAGCTCATTTCTTTATATGTAAAATGGAGATGATGATAATAATTGCTTTAGCCGGCTCATTGTCATGACTAGAGATAACAGAGGTAAACCCTTTAGCCCCATGGCACACAGCGAGTACTTAAATCTGTGATGCCTTTTGCCATGATATACAGGAAGTGCATAGGAGTGGGAGTCAGGAGACCTAGATTCTAGTCAGGTCTATACCCACTGACTCTGTGATCTTGGACAGATGGCTTAACCTGAATCTCACTTGTAACACAGAAGTCAGAAAAATGCCTACCTGATTGGGTGGTGGTAAGGATTGAATTAGTTAGTTTATGTGCAGTGCTAGCAAAATACCTGAGACATAGTAAGCCTTCAGTACACATTGACTATTTAAATATGAATCAGTTACAATCTCAGCCTGAATACAAACATTTGGCTACTTCCTATATTGGGAAATAATGGGGCAGGAATTATAGGTGGGATGAAAGGAAAAACTGGTGATACCTTCCCATGTGCCAGGAATAACTCTATGCTCCCCCCCGTCCCCAGATGCTGCCATCCCCTTCTCCTCCCAGTTTCTCCCCTCCTGCACCCACCTCTGCCTTGGATAGACCCCATGCACCTGCCCTGCCCGGGGGTGAGTAGAGGAAACTGGGGTGCTGGGAGGATAAGAGATGGTAAGGCAGCATGGAGTCTTAGACCATACTCCAGTCCTATGTGCCCTCAGCAAACCTTACAGTAAAGTCTGGGGCAGGTAGATAGGGAAAGAGCTTGGGTTTGGGAGTCATGCCAACTTGGTTTAGTCCCTACTCTAGCACTTCTAGTGTATGAAGGGATGGCCTTCATAAAGTGAAGAGATAGGTACTATTTCTTGAATTGTTATGAGAGTTAAAAAAGATGTCTGTAGAGTGCACGGCATTGTGCGTGGCACATGGTAAGCATGCAAATAGCTGTTTTATCATTAGTGCTTTAGAATTAGTCATCTTGATGGCTTGTGGAGTGGCTTAAAGCATAAGAGCGCCTGCCTAGCAAGAATGAGACCCTGAGTTCAAATCCCAGTGCTGCCAAAAGAAACAAAAAAATTAGTCATCTTCTTTGTGTCTTCCCAAAATGTACCCTTTGCTCTTAGTGTCCGTGAACCCTAAAAATACCTGGCTTCGTGTCATCTTTTTCTGTTGACATCTCTTTCTCTGAACATTTAGTCCGCTCTGGACGTCTCAGCACTGGGACACTCCTTTTCTGTGCTGGTTCCTGAGCCACTGAGTGGAGGGCAGTGTCTCCCACCTCCTTTTCTTTGGTGCCTTGAGCAGAGCTGATTATATAGCAGTTGTCTGATAAGTATTTATTGAGGATAGATAAGCAGATTTTAGAGCTCAGGTTGGTGGTCATTTGTTAATTCGAGAAGTCTTATAGTGTTACTAAGCTAAGTGCTAGAGATGAAGGATTTCACAAAACAGAGCCTGAAGACTGACTTGTGGTTCTTATTTCCAGACAAAGTCCTGGGTTGCCCTGGACCCCTGGATATGATGGCGCCTCGACTCAGGCCGGTAAGGACCCTTGTCTTGGAGGAGCCTGTGTGCACAGGAATCATTACAACTGGTCCTGTTTTGTCTTACGGGCTGAGGGAATGGCCAGGGATATCATGAAGGGAGGACTCTGGAGCACTAACTGTGTCTTCCCTACAGATGCGTCCACCACCTCCCCCACCGGCCAAAGCCCCGGATCCTGGCCACCCAGATTCCCTTACCTGAAGGCCAGGGGATCACTGCCCCCAAATGATGCTGCTGCCTTATGCCCATGCTGTCAGAAACCACCCCCTCTTCAACCTGGAGTGACACACCAAATGCTGGAATCTTCCCTGTGTCCACTCTTACCTTCAGGTGTAGAAATTTCCCCTTTGCCCATTTCTGGGCCTAGAACCCACTCCTCTTCCCCCATTGTTCTCCTGCCACCTCTAGGACTGGCACTTCCCCTTTGTCTTTTGCCAAATACCCTAAAATCTCTGGGGCTGGAAGTCATCCCCCAAGTCTTGACTAGGTCTGGCCCATCTCCATCTCCACCCTGACTCTGTGGCCCAACCCAGTCTGGATGCCAGGGTCACTGGGCTTGGTGCCAGGAGAGGAGCAGGTCTTGGGACTCAGAAGGATCTGGAGCCAATATGTGAAGCAGCTGTAATGGTCTGAGCGGATTTATTGACAGTGAATAAAGGGCACGAAGGCCAAGCTAGCACTTGGGCCTCTAGTGCCAAGAGGGCAGGGCGCTAAGGTGCTATTGCTTTTGGGGTCCACCAAGGGCAAGGTGCCTGGCCTCAGCTGCCACTCTCTAGCATGTGGAGTGAGGTGTTGGGAAGGCAGGCCAGGCAGCCTGTTGGCAGGTAGAGGAAGGGGAAAGAGACTGAGGGGCCAGGGAGGGGTCTTCTCCTGAGGTCCCCCAGCCTGAGACCATGCAACTCCAGGTGGAAGTAGAGCTGGTCCCTCAACTGAGGGGCAGTGCTGTCCAGTTGAGGGGAGGGCCTTCATGCCCACCCACCCACTGGCCCTGCTGGCTGGTAGTCCATCAGCACATTGAAGAATGAGACTTGGAGGAGAGGAAGGGGAATAGTGTTGCTTCCTGTTCAAGCTCTGGCCCGTCATTTTCCCAGGGGTTGCAGGACCCTCCCTATCCCCTGGAGCACACAGCCACTCCCCACCACCAGCCAAGAAATCTGTGGCACAGGCTAAGCCTCAGTTAACCCTTGGGGCTCAGGGAGCTCGTGGGCTTAAGTAGTTTAGGTAGAGGTTAGGTGGATGAGATTACCTGATTTGGGGCTCAGGCAGACTCACCTCACATACCCCCAGCTCCCTGTGGTGGAGATACCTGAGAGATAGGGGAGACATCAACAGTGGGAACAGGAGGGGGATTGTGTTGGTGCTCCTCAGACAGCCCACCACATCTCACTGAAGCCCTGGCAACATCTTCATACCTGATGATCTGAAGTGTCCAGTTTGCTTGGCTGTCTTTTTGCTTCTTGACTGGGCAGCCCCAGACTTGGGGCCCTCCCTCTGGCCCCCAATGTTGGTTCTGCAGAGGCTCCAGGGTTCCCCTCAAGTGCACAAGGGACTAGGCTGGTGTCTCTGAGTCCTCCATTCTGCACTGGGGAGCCAGCTAGGGCCTGGGGCTGTGGCTCCTCAGGGGGCAGCCTCTCGATGGCAGGCATCCCTGCCCTGGGCTGCCCTCCCCCAGACCCCTGACCACCACCTGATTCCTGCCCCCCACTAGATCCCCAGCTCCTGTCCGTGGGGGAACCATCACGATGCTCATGTAGCCCGTAGCGCTTCTCAATGTGTGTCACTCGGAATCTGGGAGGGGAGAGAACACTGGGACATAGGCCCACAACTCAGGCAACCTAGCCCTGTCCTCCAAACTCATCCTGAGGGTTTGATGGGCACTTCCATCTGGCCTGGGGCAGGGGAGGCCTTCTCAGATGGTGCAGCACATTGTGTCGCACCTCTGCTGTAGCTCCCAGTCCAGGAGGAAAGAGTTGGGGGCCACATTTGGGATCAGATGCCTGATCACTGGGTTCCTCACCTCAGCCTCTTTCCCTGGGGTGCTGCATCCTCACCTGCCCACTGAAAACACGGTGGTCTCCCCAGGCCGAGGACGGCCTTTTCCTTCCTTGGAGCGTCCCTGACGGACAAGTGGAGGTCTCTTACTGCGGCTGCAATGAATGCAAGGGGCTGCAGAGCCCAGATGTACTGTGTGATGATGGGAGGGGGTTCCGTCCTGCAGGCTGGAGGTGGCGTCCACACTGGACAGCAAGGAGGAGTGGAGCAAAAATGGTATTTGTTTCCCTTCCTGCTTTGTTCCCTCCTGTTCTTTCAGCATGCTCTTTAACCCCCCAGAAACCCTACTTTCCCCAGGCCCCCAAATTCTTTTTGTCTTTATCTAATAAATTCAGTATTAAGATGTAAGTGACCATGTGTTCTTCCTTCCAGCCGTAATTGCTAAAAAGAGGGGAATGCTTAGCCCAAGAGTGGTACCAGAGGTGAATGCTAGGCTTGATGATATCTACATGGGAGACATGGTTCAAAGGACTTGGGATTTCTATAAGACTTCCTTCTTCCTGTAGGTTGAGCAGCCTTGCCTTCCCCTAACCCCAAACATGCAAGGACACTGGGAGAGAAGTGTGCTGGAGGAGAGGGTACTCTTCAAGGCAAGCTAAGTCATGCTGGACCTTGTTTCCAGCTCACCTCGACAGCTGCACTGTCCCTTCTCCTTCACTGTCCCCCAGCATCTCCTTCAAGGCTTCAGCATTGGCTGAGGGGAGAAGGAAAAGGTAGTCAGTGGAGGTGGAGGTCAAGGGAAGAGAAAGTCATAGTGGGAGAGAGCAAGGGCAAGCCTATACCCACCTTCGTTTTGGATGATGCAGCGAACAATCCTCTCTACGGTGTCCTCATTCACGTCATCGTCCTCAGCTGAAAGATGAAAGAGGTTGCCAAGAAAGTGAGAAATGAGTCAGCTTTGGGGCAACATGACCCATGGCCCTCCTGGCCTATTGTTCAAGACATATCCCTTATTTACTATCATGCTGGACTTTAGCATTTCAGGGGCCAGAAGAGCTGGGGAAGTCAGTGGGATCCTAGGTCTACCAGCCCATGTTGCCTTCTCTAGCCTTGCTTTCAGGATGGCATAACCCTACTTGCTGACTCAAGAATGCATCACTAGGCTTTCTGTACTCCTGATCAGGATTTGGCCCGAGTCTGTTCACCAGAAAGGCAGAAAGAGGTGTGGGGAGAGGGGTAAGGGAGAAAGGTGACTGAACCAGGGTTCCAAGGCTCCTCACTCACGGGGCTGCAGCTGGGCATCGTCAGGCTCTGAGCCCCTAGACGTGCGGCAGCGGTAGCCTTTCTTCTTGAGCACGTGGCAGATCATGAAGCCTACAAGGCCCATGAGGAAGAAGACCAGCACAAGCAGAAAGAGCATGTATAGCCCATGTTGGGGTGGCTCCAGGTCAGGCTGTGGTTCCGACATGAGGCCCTGGGGGGCGAGCACGGGCCAGGGCGCCTGCTAGGTTTAGGGGGCTGCAGCTGGGGATGGGGGAAGGGTACAAATGCGGTTCTCAGGCTCCTACAGGCACACTTTGGAGGTCTGCCCCACCCCTTACCCAACCGGGGAGCTGTCCAGGCCAAGGGTGCTGGTTGGCCAAGGCCAGAAGGCGGCTGCGCAAGCCCTCTGCCACAACCCCAGTCCTCCCCGACGTCCAGACAGTTTCTCTGTCCAGCTCGTCCCGCGCGTCCGTCCCTCCCAAGGACACTGCAGCGTAAGATGGGACGAAATTCTCAGGCAGCGGGTGCAGAAATCGCACCTGAGTCAGCGTCCGTACCTCTTCCGCGCCGGCCTGAGTCAGGCCTTCTGCAGCCCCTTCCTCTCCCTGTATTCCCGAATCCCTCCCCTTTTCGGTTCCTCCCACCCTGACTGCCTAGCCCACCCGGTACCGGTGGTTCGGTTCTGGCTCCGGCTCCGGCTGGTGTTTCGGCTCCAGGGGCGTCCTAGTCCGGCTCAGGGCCCCCGACGCCCTCCCGGAGCTCATCCCTTGATTCCTCCCCCTCCCCCCTTCGCTGCCTCACCGGCTCCGGGCTTGTGGCTGCGGATACCGGTGCCGCCGCAGGCGGGGGGAGGGAAAGATTGCGGAGGATGCGGGTTGGTTGGGAGCCGCGGCAGCCTCCGGACAACTCGGGTCCTGGGAAACGGAGGAGTTAGGGGGCGCCTCCGAAACCGCCCTAGGTCCCCAAATGCCTTCTCCCGTTGCCCGCCCTGGACCAAGGGGCGGAGCGCAGGTGTGCGGGGAGCGCGTAAGCCTTGCGCGTGTGTGAGCGCAAGTAAAATGCGCGCGTGACTGCGCCCTGCCTGACCCGGGGGAATGTGCGGCGCCAGAGTCTGGGTCCGCGCGGGGGTCAGGAGGTCAGGGGCGGGCACTCTCCACTGGCCTATCCCGCAAGTCTGGCGTAGCTCCTGCCCTCAGATACCCCGGACGAGTGGATAGTCAGGAATCTTCCTAGCGGCCTGAGAAAGGCTGGCTTTCGGCACCTGAGAGGGGCAGCGTGACCGGATCTTCGGAACTTCTTAGGGAGGTGACCACGGCCTGCGCCCCGTTTGGGGAAAGAAGATGGACGAGATGGCTCGGCTTCCCGAGGATTTGGCCCTCGCCCGGAAAGAAATGGCCCTCGCATCCTAGGACCCGAGCTACGCGTCCCCGCCCAAACCCGGACGCTCAAGCCCCAGAATTTGGAAGGGTGAAGCGAGGCGAGGGGCGGAACCCCCGCAGGGGGCGTGCCTAAGGCGTGGCTTCGGAGAGGCGGGGCCAAAGCCTCCCTGTGCCGCAGAGGCCGGCTGCGTGCTTACGTAGCACGCACGACCGGGGGTGGGGCTGGCGGCCGCGGGCGGGCGGGCGGCGGAGGCGCGCGGCCTGGTCCCGCCGGCACCATGGCAAAAACTGTGGCCTATTTCTACGACCCTGACGTGGGCAACTTCCACTACGGTGAGGGAACATGATCGTTCGCGAGGGGCTGGGAAGTAGAGGTTTCAAGGGAAGGGTGGCAATCCCAGCGGTGGGAACTGACGAACTCTTCGCCCCACCCCCAGGAGCTGGGCACCCTATGAAGCCCCATCGCCTGGCATTGACCCATAGCTTGGTCCTGCATTATGGTCTCTATAAGAAGATGATCGTGAGTTTCGTCGCCTCTGCCGGGATTTGGGGCAGGGAGCGAGCTGCAGCCTTAGGGATAGGTGGGCTGGACTGTATGCACCAGGTGCCTCCCGCCCCTAGAGGTGGGGAAGGTGGATAGTAGACACTGGGAACACTCCCTATATGCAGTGCGTTAGGAGTGGCGTCCGTTGACGGAATGGGAGTTACCTTTTCACCTCAGGTTGCTCTTCCTTTGACCTTAGACCAGCCCTTAGCCTAGGATTAGAGCCTAGGGGCTGGTTTGAAGACAGAGCATGTTTCTTCTTTGCACTTTATTTTCTTTACATATTTATTCTGCTGGGCTGGGGATGGAACTCAGAGCTGGTCAAATGTTCTACCACTGAATTATGCCTAGTCCCTGCGTTTTAAGGCGTTGACAGTGCTATGGTACTGGGGATGGGATTTGGGTGTGAGGTTTACCTTCAGTTCCCACAACTTCTCCTGTGCCACCTTTCTTTACCTGCACACAGAACTCCAGGAACAACTCTGCAGGCCTGTGTGTAAATGTGTGTGCATGTATATAGAGCAGGAGATATCCTGGGTATTCTCCTTTCAATCCAGAATACTTCTGCACAGTTCTTAATTGCTACCCAGTTCTTCACCTCCCATATAGACACACGTTGTCTGTCCCCAGTTTGTAATTTATAGCTGTAGAATGGTATAATAGCTGACCCCATCCTTATGCACTTTGAGGATAATTAGTCAACAATATGTGTTTTACTGCTTGTGTTGAGGCACAGGCAGTGGTTTGGTCATGGAATAGATGGAGGTGATGTTAGTGCAGGAATCTGTGAATCCCTTGAGGGATTGTCAGCCTGTGCATCCCTGTGTTTTTTAGCAGAAGAAAAATCTTTTTTCTTTGCCTGATTTTCACAGGGGTATGTGAACTTTTCCTCCTCTCTCCCCCATCGAGGATGATAAATGTTTGGTTTGGCACCTTAAATTTAGATTAACTTGGCATATATCCCATGTATTTGACTTTACGATGAAGAACCCAGAGGGGAGACAAGTATGGAGAGACCCAGGACCAAGAGATCTAGGGAACAGGATAGGTGGATCAAGGCTCAGAGTTGAGAAGGTAGGAGAGGCTGAGCTGAAGATGGGAAGGAGAGGAAGTAGTCTCCAGAAGTCTTGATTTAACATAGCCCACCTGACTAATAGCCTCCTCTTCACTGACCTTGGACTCATAGAAAGAATAACAAGAGATAGGGGATGGGGGATTGTTTTTATGTGGTTTTGGACAATCTCTAGAGCTGGGTCAGCGTGGGTGGTCTCGACCTCGACCTCATGACTGGTGTAACCCTGCTTGGGTTCATCTTGTGTCTCCATCCCAAGGTCTTCAAGCCATACCAGGCCTCCCAGCATGACATGTGCCGCTTCCACTCTGAGGACTACATTGACTTCCTGCAGAGAGTCAGCCCCACCAATATGCAAGGCTTCACCAAGAGCCTTAACGCCTTCAACGTGGGCGATGACTGGTGAGGGAGGGGAGGATTGAAACTGGATTCAAGCACATTGATGCCAGGTCCTTCAATGAGGTCTTGTGTCAGCAGTGGGAGGATATGAAAGGGAGCCTGCTTGTCAGTGAATCATCATTCACTCATTTGTTTATTCAGTAAATATTTATTGGTCATTTGCCCTAGGCCAGGCACTGTGCTGAATGCAGGAGATACAATGATGAACAAAAAGAACAACATTTTGGGCTGGTGGAGTGGCTCAGGTGGTAGAGCACCTGACTAACAAGCCTGAGGCTCTGAGTTCAAGCCCCAGTGCCACAAAAACATGCAAAAAGAACAAAATTTTAATATTGTATCTGTGGTAAGTTCTGTGAAGAAGAGGTACATGATAGACTAATGAGAATGTGTACTTGGCAGAATTATTTAGCTTCAGAGTAGGGCTGTTCTCTAGAAGGGTTCTCTAGGTCTTCCTGGAGGAAGTAATGGAAAATTGAACTGATATCTGAAAAAAAGAAAAAGTAGAAAATAATTAGATAAAAGGTGATTTGAGGGTGAAGGGAGGGATATAGTGGGGGCAGTAGGGACAACATGTACTAAAGTTCTGTGGTAGGATAGAGTATGACTTATTTGAGGGACAGAAAAAAGGCAAAGCGCAGAATATGAAGAGGAAAGTGATCTAGATGGAGAGTAAAGGAAGCTTTTTAAAAAGTAAACAGCCCTGTTATGAATTAGGTTTTTTTTTTTCCCCCTAGAGTAGAGGAAAGTCATTAAAGTGTTTTAAAAAGCAAAGAAGTGATTTGTTGTGGCCAGGTTTACAGTGAGCTTGTATTGCCTGTGGAAGACCCAGGGTTAGGCATTGTGGGAAAGTGAATGAACAACAAAGATGAGCTATGATCCTTGTTTACACTCCAGGATACACCCATGAAAAATAACCATAACAGCAGGGTACCTGTGGCCCTTGCCTGTAATCCTAGCTACTCAGGAGGCAGAGATCAGGAGGATCAAGTTTCAAAGCCAGTCTGTACAAATAGTTTGTGAGACCCTATCTCAAAAAAACCCATCACAAAAATAGGGCTGGTGGAGTGACTCAAGGTGTAGGCCCTGAGTTCAAACCCCAGTACCACCAAAAAAGAAAACACTGTAATAATTACCACATACCCAGTTCAATTTAAACTTTTTTAAGTCTTTTTTTTAGCAGTATTGGGATTTGAACTCAGGGCCTCATACTTGCTAGGCAGGTGCTCTGCTGCCTGAGCCATTCCACCAGCCCTTGATCTAAACTTTTTTTTAAAGAAAATATCAAACATTTCTGAAAGTAGAGTAGAGCAGTGAACTCCTCCATATCTATTACTCAGTTTCAAAACTTACAAGCAAATGGCCAGTCTTTCTTCATCTGCAAATCCTTCTGTTAGATTATATTAAAGCAAATCCCAGCCAGATGTGGTGGCGCACATGGGAGATTCTAGTGCTTAGGAGCCAGAGGCAGATGATTGCAAGTTGTAGGCCAGTCTTGCTATACAGCAGGACTCTGTCTCAAAAAAAAAAACCTCAAATGTTCACATATTTTTATCCATAAACATTTTACTATATGTTTCTATATAATACTCTTTAAAGATATTAATATCACACTTAAAATTTAATAGTAATTTTTAAATCAAATATGCAATTGATATTCAGAAACTCCAGTTTTGTTATTCATTTTACTTAAAAATCAGGATCTAAACAGTGTCCACACTTTGCATTTGATTGATGTCTCTTGAAACTTAATCTGTGGCCTTTTCCTTTCTCCCTTGAATTTATTCTTGAAGAAATTAGGTTGTTGATGCTGTAGAGTTTCTGACAGTGGCTGACTTTTGAGTGCTTACTGTGCTAGGTGTTATGCTGAGGGTTGCTGATATATCCACTTAATTCTCACACCAACCCTGAGATGTAATAGTCCATTTCCTGATGTTACACATACATAAATGGAAGTTTGGGGAGACTTAGGTAGTTTAGCCTGAGTCACGGAACGTATCAATGGAGGTGGCAGGGTTCAGATTCAGAGCCTAGGTTTTTTTGTTTGTTTTGTTTGTGAAAGGGTCTTGCTATGTAGCACAGGATGACCTTGAACTCATCTCCTGTCTCAGCCTCTTGAATGCTGGGATTACGGGTATACACCACCCCACCAGCTCAGAGCCCAGTATGAAGTGATAAAAACCACTTCATTAATCTGTTTCCCTGAAAGGACTTTTTTTTTTAAGTGTTTTTATTAGTACAAAATAGTTGTACAGGGGGTTTCGTTTGACATTTCCATATATACGTATTATGAACCCCAGTTTGATTCATCCCTTCCTCCCTGCTTCTTAAAATGGTTCAACAGGTTTCAATGTCCCATATTCATACATGTGTAGAAAATATGTCAGCCATATTCACCCTCTTTTACCCATTTCGTTTACCCTCCCCTTCTTGCTTGTACCCTCCCCTTAACATGACTGTTTTGTATTACCGTCCTTTACTGTTTTGCTTGTGGGGTTTTGCCTTGGTATTTTATCTGTAAATATACTGTACTTTAATCAGTCTGATCTCCTCTATTACTCTTCTTTGCCCTGAAAGGACCTTCTGACAGAAGGAGCCAGAGCCTCAGAATAGAGGCCAACTCCTTACACCTTCCCATTATTATCCCCACAACTCACAGCATGCCTTCATCAATGAAGTTTTTTTTTTTAAAGATGGGTTCTCCCTATGTACCCCTGGTTGGTCTCGAACTTCTGATCTGCCTGCCTCAGCCTCCTGAGTAGTGGGATTGTAGTTGTAAGTCACCATACCCAACCTTCCAAAGCTTTTTTTTTTTTTTAAATGGCACTAGGGTTTGAACTCAGGGCCTGGCACCTCTTGAGCCACTCTTCCAACCCTTTTGTATGATGGGTTTTTTAAGATAGGTCTTGCAAACTATTTGCCTGGGGCTGGCTTTGAACCATGATCCTCTTTATGTCTGCTTCCCGAGTAGCTAGGATTATAGGCGTGAGCCACTGGTGCCCTGCTCCATGAAACCTTTCTTGACCATACTAGCCCACAAGTGCCCTGTTCCATATACACTGTACTGCTCATTTGGTGTTGAGTCACATGCTGACTTG